AAATGATGAGCTACTAAAAATATCCACTTGGATGATGACTAACAAACTTTCTCTCAATATCATCAAAACCTACTTCATACTGTTCGGAAACAGAGCTGCAAATATTCAGCTTAACATATTGATAAATGGGTTCCCCATTTCAAGACACTGAGGAAAAATTTCTAGGGCTCTACATTGACAGCTGTCTCAAATTTCAGACCCACATACAGCATATCTCAAAAAAAATCTCGAAAACAGTAGGCATCCTCTCTAAGATATGGTATTATGTACCTCAAATGGCACTTCTTGCTCTTTACCACTCTCTCATCTACCCTTACCTCATCTATGGTATTTGTGCATGGAGTTCAACCACAGCCTAATCACCTTAAACCTTTAATTAACCAACAAAAAACTGCTGTGAGATTGAGTACAAACTCCTGCACCAAGCAACACACCCCACCGCTATCTAAGAGCTTGAACCTGCTAAACATACAAAATACCCACTCATATTATTGTGCCTACTACGTACACAGAACATTATTCTCCAATATAAACCCTCCTCTCAAACTCCTTCTTGAGAACTACAACAGAATGCATTTGCATAACACAAGACACAAAACACTCTTTGATATCCTTTGTGTCCATCTCTCCCTATGCAAAAATGCTATGCATATAAAGGGGTCTAAGACCTGAAACATACAAAACATACAAAAGGGCCCTTGCTGCCTGCACACCAATTCAAGGCTCTGCTTAGAAATCACCTCATCTCCCAAAATTAACCATGCAAACAATGTATATTATTGCCACCATCAACTCAAAAATTTCCAAATATTATAAGATTATTTCAAAACTCAAATGGTTTCAATCTCATTATGTATAATGTGCCAAAATATAATACTGTAATTTGTTAATTAATTACTTGTTAATTCAATTACTGCTAAACCACTACTACCTCTGTTGAAATATAAAAAACATTGTTCAATTCGAATCAATTATGATATATATGCCTGTATTAAGTAGTCTGTTAAGCATTAAGTTAAGTCTGCTCAAAATGCCACAGCTTATCAGTGGCTTTCTTTGTACTGAGCAAATCAAAATTGTAATTACACATTATAAACTATGCAAAGAAAAAAAAAAACATATTCCTTATAACTACATTTCCTGACATTCTTGCCAGTTTGGTTTTAGGTCTAAAAAAAGTATGAATGATGCAATTATAAAAATGTTTGAACTACTTTATGCAGCTCTTGAAAATAATGAATATCCACTGGGACTCTTCAGAGACCTTTGGAAAGCTTTTGACACTGTGGATCACAATCTTAAAAATATTATGAAGTCAGAGGATATACCCTTGCATACATAAATTCTTATTTTAGCATTAGACACTATTATGTCTCCACCAGCAGTGTAACCTCATCAACCCAGTTGAACATAGGGAGTGTCTCCAGGCATCTCATGACCTTAAATCTCTTCTGTTTGCAGATTACATGGCTTACAATTTCTCACACTCAAATTTGACTACTCTTAGTAGTCCTCTTAATGAACTGAGACACTTATGCAACATATGGAAATCTTTATTGAAGAAACATTTCTTCAATAAAGATTCCCATATGTTGCATAAGCATCTCAATTCTTCAACTTGCTGGTTTTCAAAACCATTCATGACAGTACTGTTAATGATGAGCTCCTAAAAATATCTTCATGGCTGACTACCAACAAATTTACTATAATAAAGTAACTGATAAATTCCACCGATTTTCTTCATGTAAAGTAAAAGGACACAAGTGCAACTAATGTGACATTTTATTGTGTTGGAGAGCGAAACGCTGCCACAATAAAATGTCACATTAGTTGCACTTGTGTCCTTTTACTTTACATATTGTCGGTAATTCTACCAACTTTATTACGATTTTCTTTAATTTTTAAGGCACTTATAAATCACTTTGATGCACATGTAGTTAACTGACTCAGATTATCATATTTTCATTGCAATTAATTTTACTTTATTTTACTGTAATGCACCTAATTTTTTGTCCTTTCAGTGATACTGTTAATAATCATAACTAACTTTTACTATAGAAGTTAGCTAGGTAATACAAGGATCTAGTGGGAGTCACTTTGACTTTTTGGGGGAGGTTATACTAGGGAATTTACATAGGTTATTTTGTAAGACAATTATAAACACCCAAAACTGTGCAATTTGCATAAATAAACTTTACTTATGCTACAGGTGAGTCTTGAAGCCAGGGCTCAGGCACCACTTGTTCTGTGATTGGTTTCCAATCTTGTTAGTCGACCAGTGTGGGTCGCATCCTGGGACAAAACCTAATTTGCAGGAATGCTCAGCATAACAAGCGGCTTTCTATATACTAGTATGTCATTGATGTCAGCTATGGTCTGTATACCTTGCACATGTACTGGTAGTAAATAATTATATTATTATTATTAATTTTTAAGGTCACCAACATAAGACAATAAGAGTGTCAGACAGAATATAGTGTCAGCCTGAGCATGTCAGCATTGCAGCTGTCATTCAACATACAAACCAGTAAATTTTCCGATAGAGACATTGTTTTTTTTTTTTTATTATTATCACACTGGCCGATTCCCACCAAGGCAGTGGCCCGAAAAAGAAAAACTTTCACAGTTTTTAAACTGCAACATTAACACCCCTCCTTCAGAGTGCAGGCACTGTACTTCCCATCTCCAGGACTCAAGTCCGGCCTGCCAGTTTCCCTGAACCCCTTCATAAATGTTACTTTGCTCACACTCCAACAGCACGTCAAGTATTAAAAACCATTTGTCTCCATTCACTCCTATCAAACACGCTCACGCATGCCTGCTGGAAGTCCAAGCCCCTCGCACACAAAACCTCCTTTACCCCCTCCCTCCAACCTTTCCTAGGCCGACCCCTACCCCGCCTTCCTTCCACTACAGACTGATACACTCTAAAAGTTATTCTGTTTCGCTCCATTCTCTCTACATGTCCGAACCACCTCAACAACCCTTCCTCAGCCCTCTGGACAACAGTTTTGGTAATCCCGCACCTCCTCCTAACTTCCAAACTGCGAATTCTCTGCATTATATTCACACAACACATTGCTCTCAGACATGACATCTCCACTGCCTCCAGCCTTCTCCTCGCTGCAACATTCATCACCCATGCTTCACACCCATATAAGAGCGTTGGTAAAACTATACTCTCATACATTCCCCTCTTTGCCTCCAAGGACAAAGTTCTTTGTCTCCACAGACTCCTAAGTGCACCACTCACCCTTTTCCCCTCATCAATTCTATGATTCACCTCATCTTTCATAGACCCATCCGCTGACACGTCCACTCCCAAATATCTGAATACATTCACCTCCTCCATACTCTCTCCCTCCAATCTGATATCCAATCTTTCATCACCTAATATTTTTGTTATCCTCATAATTTTACTCTTTCCTGTATTCACTTTCAATTTTCTTCTTTTGCACACCCTGCCAAATTCATCCACCAATCTCTGCAACTTCTCTTCAGAATCTCCCAAGAGCACAGTGTCATCAGCAAAGAGCAACTGTGACAACTCCCACTTTATGTGTGATTCTTTATCTTTTAACTCCATGCCTCTTGCCAAGACCCTCGCATTTACTTCTCTTACAACCCCATCTATAAATATATTAAACAACCACGGTGACATCACACATCCTTGTCTAAGGCCTACTTTTACTGGGAAATAATTTCCCTCTTTCCTACATACTCTAACTTGAGCCTCACTATCCTCGTAAAAACTCTTCACTGCTTTCAGTAACCTACCTCCTACACCATACACTTGCAACATCTGCCACATTGCCCCCCTATCCACCCTGTCATACGCCTTTTCCAAATCCATAAATGCCACAAAGACCTCTTTAGCCTTATCTAAATATTGTTCACTTAAATGTTTCACTGTAAACACCTGGCCCACACATCCCCTACCTTTCCTAAAGCCTCCTTGTTCATCTGCTATCCTATTCTCCGTCTTACTCTTAATTCTTTCAATAATAACTTACCATACACTTTACCAGGTATACTCACCAGACTTATCCCCTATAATTTTTGCACTCTCTTTTATCCCCTTTGCCTTTATACAAAGGAACTATGCATGCTCTCTGCCAATCCCTAGGTACCTTACCCTCTTCCATACATTTATTAAATAATTGCACCAACCACTCCAAAACTATATTCCCACCTGCTTTTAACATTTCTATCTTTATCCCATCAATCCCGGCTGCCTTACCCCCTTTCATTTTACCTACTGCCTCACGAACTTCCCCCACACTCACAACTGGCTCTTCCTCACTCCTACAAGATGTTATTCCTCCTTGCCTATACACGAAATCACAGCTTCCCTATCTTCATCAACATTTAACAATTCCTCAAAATATTCCCTCCATCTTCCCAATACCTCTAACTCTCCATTTAATAACTCTCCTCTCCTATTTTTAACTGACAAATCCATTTGTTCTCTAAGCTTTCTTAACTTGTTATCAATATAAAAACCGTTAAACCAATACTCAATTCCTGTTTGTTATTATATGGGACAGTCTAATTATTACACTTATTAGACGTCAGAGTCGACCCCCGGCTATTACCTACGATTCGTCCACAATATCTCTCACCGAAGGCATCGCAGCCATAAAGTTTGATCCAGGGAAATCTTAGGGAAGACCACAAAATGAAATCAATAAAAATAAACCACGAAACTTTAAGTTTCCTCTCCAGGGTTTATCAGAGATTAATAAAGCAAATAAACTCATTTCTAACTAGTTAATAAAACAACACTATCAATCACTAAGAAAGCAAAGCATTAAATAACAAATATAGTGGATAATATGGTAGATATATTCATTAAATAAGAATCGTCCATTAACCTGACCACCATCTTGTAAGTTAGAAAATCTCCAGAAAAACAAAGAAAATCCAAGATTTCTCAGTTTTAAGGCGCAGTTATGAACATTTACCATTATAAAGTATATATATATAACATTCCCACTAACCTTATATGTCAGTGGATCTCAGGGGCAGAGTGAAATATGTTAATTTTGGGTTAATAATGCAAGCAATCGATGAGTGAGAACACCAAGACGACCAGACCAGCCAAGTGATGTTGTTATGTTGTTGTAGACTGTCGTACAACTACTGTTAACTGTTGTTGTACCTTTGTTATCTTGTTGTACCGGTGTTATGTTGTTGTAGACTGTCGTACAACTACTGTTAACTGTTGCTGTACCTTTGTTATCTTGTTGTACCGGTGTTATGTTGTTGTAGAATGTCGTACAACTACTGTTAACTATTGTTGTACCTTTGTTATCTTGTTGTACGGTGTTATGTTGTTGTAGACTGTCGTACAAACTACTGTTAACTGTTGTTGTACCTTTGTTATCTTGTTGTACCGGTGTTATGTTGTTGTAGATTGTCGTACAACTACTGTTAACTGTTGTTGTACCTTTGTTATCTTGTTGTACCGGTGTTATGTTGTTGTAGACTGTCGTACAACTACTGTTAACTTTGTTGTACCTTTGTTATCTTGTTGTACCGGTGTTAAGTTGCTGTACTGTCGTACAATTACTGTTAACTATTGTTGTACATTTGTTATCTTGTTGTACCTGTGTTATGTTTAGTTGTAGACTGTCGTACAACTACTGTTAACTATTGTTGTACCTTTGTTATCTTGTTGTACCGGTGTTATGTTAAGTTGTTGTAGACTGTCGTACAACTACTGTTAACTATTGTTGTACTTGTGTTATCTTGTTGTACCGTTATGTTGTTGTAGACTGTCGTACAACTACTGTTAACTATTGTTGGACCTTTGTTATCTTGTTGTACCGGTGTTATGTTAAGTTGTTGTAGACTGTCGTACAACTACAGTTAACTATTGTTATACCTTTGTTATCTTGTTGTACCGGTATTATGTTGTTATGTTGTTGCAGACTGTCATACAATCACTATTAACTATTGTTGCACCTTTGTTATCTTGTGCCGGTGTTGTTGTTAAGTTGTAGACTGTCGTACAAGCACTGTTAACTATTGTTGTACCTATGTTGTCATGTTGTACCGGTGTTATGTTATTATGTTGTTGTAGACTGTCGTACAACTATTGTTAACTATTGTTGTTATGACTGACAACCAGTGTTGTCTCTTGTTGTGCATTTGTTATCTTGTACCTTTATCTGTTATGGTGTTATGTCTGACAACCAGTGTTGTCTCTTGTTGTACCTTTGTTATCTTGTTGTTATGATGTTATGACTGACAGCCAGTGTTGTCTCTTCGTGGAAAATAAATTCCCATAATTATACTGTATATATTTTTATAATGTAAATATACATGATTAATGCATTACTGTTGTTCTAAATTGTATTTTGAATAGAACCAACTGGGTTCGCCCTGCACTTGCGCGGATGTGCGGAGGGAACAGGTCGAGTCAGGGCATGGAGAAGCGGGAGTTTTTTGAATGGAGTGAGGAGGCTGTGAAAACATGGGACCAGGAAATTGGCGTTCACGGCGGCCTAAGGATTAGTATAGGCCTCACTTCATAATAGGAAGTGCCATAACTGTTCCTGGTGAAGAGTGAGGGAACGTGATTTACGGGACCACCGTAAAAGGGCGGTAAAATTAGTGAATAATGGTTCGACCGGGTGTGACTGGTGCGCGGCCATGGTGTGTGTCCAGGGGAAATACCCGTGAGTTAATCCTCACTCATCGGTCTCAGATCTTAATGGAGTGACCTCTAATGTGTACAATAATTATGAGACATTAAATCGTCTTGTGAATTGTAATGTAATCAGTGATAATAACACTAAGTTAAGGAATCGTTGAAGCGATATGAGCTGCCATTCCCAGTGTGTGTGTGCACATGTTTACCTCATTGTTCCTGTCTCGAGGATAGTGAAGTTTTTATGGAGTCACGACTTCTAAACCGGGACAAACCAACGGATACCTCGCCCTGCCGGAATAAGAACCATGTTGGTGTAGCAGGACATCGAAATGAGATGGTGAATGGAGGAAATAAGTAGCATCAATCACCCACAGCTAAGTAACCTTTCTAGTTATAGCAGACTGATACTGGCCAGTTAGGTATGTTGTAATTGGATAAGTTATGGGTGATCCAGCTACATCAAGTGACCACCAGAGAATATTTGGTAAGTGGTGAGATTATGTATAAGTGTTTTTCCTTGATGGATATATCCATGTGTAACCTACCCCCCCCCCTTCATTCAGTTACACTAATATAATCTATACAGTCTACAATTAATTGGTAGCGTCGTACTTGTGGGTGCTATCCAATCTATACTGGTCTCGGATAGATATGGATAAGATTGTGAGGTCGAAGGCCCACCTGCAGTGACCAGGGGTGATGAAGTTTTCTCACATGTCTACACGGGGTGACTACGGTAAACAATATAGTGTTGTCTCACAATGAGATTACTCGTATGCATGTAATGTTGAGGTACGTACAGGTAGTCACCCCTAGAAAATTTTCCATACTCTTGTTGTACCTTCGTTATCTTGTTATGGTGCTATGACTGACAACCAGTGTTGTCTCTTGTTGTACCTTTGTTATCTTGTTATCTTGTTGTTATGATGTTATGGCCTGGTGGCCTGGTGGCTAAAGCTCCCGCTTCGCACACGAAGTGCCCGGGTTCGATTCCCGGCGGGTGGAAACATTTCGACACGTTTCCTTACACCTGTTGTCCTGTTCACCTAGCAGCAAATAGGTACCTGAGTGTTAGTCGACTGGTGTGGGTCGCATCCTGGGGGGACAAGATTAAGGACCCCAATGGAATTAAGTTAGACAGTCCTCGATGACGCACTGACTTTCTTGGGTTATCCTGGGTGGCTAACCCTCCTGGGTTAAAAATCCGAACGAAATCGTATCTTATGACTGAAACCATGTGTAATCTCTTTTTGGATTCGTTAATTGTGTAACTTTGTCCATCTGTTGTTTATTTTAATACAGGTTCTTGGTACATATGTAACTTGTTGTACTTCTTATTTCAAAAGATAGTGTAATTTGTCCGTTGTGCCTGTGCCTTGACGTTATTGTTGCCACTTATCCTTCGTTGGTTTTTTTGGAGTTTTTTGTACCTTTGTTATCTGGAGCAAGTACTTTGTATGACTTTTCTGGCATTTATATTGTCGTCAGTGGTAGGTGTAACGGCACTGACGACAAAGTTTTCCACTGGTTTTTGGCTGGGATTCCCTGCTGTGAACCTTGTTCCTTCCCTTAGAGATGGTCTTGTTGATGCTTGTCCTTGTGTACCGTCTTATATATAGTACCTATATTAATAACCCCGCTCTTCTTGTCTTATCGGCTATCAGTGTTACTTCCTCCACACACGATGCTGTGAACACTAACTCGATGGCCAGGACTGATTTTCCTCATCCCTTTTAAAGTCACTGTCATTGACCTAGTTTGCCCCGACAATTTTTGTATTGTTTTGTAACCACGTGGATGTGACGCATAGTCTACTACAATGGAAAGATTTTTCCAGATGTTGTACACAATCTGGTCTTTAAATTTATATTATCTGTATTCTTATCCTTCTTACAGCGAATATCGTAGCTATCACTGTATAATTTAGCGTTATCGTCTTGTTGCCATGAATTCTTTAACTCTGGTATGTACCTTGTCGTTTTTGTTGCATTGTTTGTAAAGACAACCAGTTGAAGGTCTCTGGACCTTTGGTTCAAGTTTTGTAAAGTTCTTTTCCTCATCTATATTGTACAGTGTGCGCTCTTGTTGTGCTGTGCCTCTTGTGACGCTTTGTTATCTTGTTGCACCTTTATCCTCTCGTTGTTCCTTTGTTCTCTTGTTGTACCTTTGTTCTTTTGTTGTACCTTTGTTATCTTGTACCTTTGTTCTCTTGTTATGACTTTGTTCTCTTGTTGTACCATTGCTATCTTGTTGTACCTATGTTTTCTTCTTGTTATGGTGTAACAGCATTGTCTGACAACCAGTGTTCTCTTTTGTTGTACCTTTGTTATCTTGTTGTACATTTGTTATCTTGTTGTACCTTTGTTATCTTGTTGTACCTTTGTTACCTTGTTGTACCTTTGTTATCTTGTTGTACCTTTGTTCTCTTGCTGTACCTTTGTTATCTTGTACCGTTGTTCTCTTGTTGTTAATTTGTTCTCTTGTTGTACCTGTGTTATCTTGTAGTACCTGTTTTCAATGCCCCCGCTGCTCGGTCTGAGACCAAGCCTCATGGTGGATCAGGGTCTTATTAAATAGGCTGTTACTTCTGCCCACACACAAACTGACGTACGAACTACAGCCTGGTTGGTCAGGTACTGACTTTAGGTGCCTGTCCAATGCCTTCTTAAGGCACTGATCTATTGAACAGTCTTGGACCCCGGACACTTTTTGTGTTGTCTCTCTCTGCTTACCATCGGGGGAATGATGCATCTCCAGCCTAGTCTTTACTTTCATAGGGAGTGATTTTCGTGTGCAGGTTTGGTACCAATCCCTCAAGGATCTTTCAAGTGTATATTATCATGTATGTCTCTTGCTTGCGTTCCAGGGAATACAGATCAAGGACCTTCAACTGTTCCCAGTAATTTAGGCGCCTTATCGTACTTATGTGTGCCATGGAAGTTCTTTGTACACTCTCCAGGTCTGCAATGTCACCAGCCCTGAAGGGGGCCGTTAGTGTACAGCAGTTCTCCAGCCTAGAGAGAACAAACAATTTGAAGAGAATCATCATGGGCTTTGCGTCCCAAGTTTTGAAAGTTCTTATTCCTCATCCTCATATCTGACATAGACAAGGATGTCAGCCACAGCACCGTGTCTTCCTTTGCAGATGACACCCGAATCTGCATGACAGTGTCTTCGATTGCAGACACTGCAATGCTTCAGGCGGACATCAACCAAATCTTTCAGTGGGCTGCAGAAAACAATATGAAGTTCAACGATGATAAATTTCAATTACTCAGATATGGTAAACACGAGGAAATTAAATCTTCATCAGAGTACAAAACAAATTCTGGCCACAAAATAGAGCGAAACACCAACGTCAAAGACCTGGGAGTGATCATGTCGGAGGATCTCACCTTCAAGGACCATAACATTGTATCAATCGCATCTGCTAGAAAAATGACAGGATGGATAATGAGAACCTTCAAAACTAGGGATGCCAAGCCCATGATGACACTCTTCAGGTCACTTGT